AATACTTGCTTTATTATGGTGGGCTGGAACCAGGCTGGAACCAAACCGACAATATCTCCAAGGTATGCCTGTATTATTTTAAGGTAGATCATGATACTTTAAAGATGCATTTTATAAATCCTAGAGCAATGACCAAAATTCATAAATCAAGAGGTATAGCTAGTAAGCTAATAGTAGAGATAATATTTAAAATATTAAATGAAAGGGGGGTGAGGAGGAGGCCGCAGCAGGAAGATATGGCTCATGAACAGCAGAAGATTCAGTCTCAGCCAAAAAGCAAGCTGGACAAAAGACGAAACAAGGACATGACGAAAAGGCTGCTGCCAAAGCTGCCTTAATATATACATGCACTGTCTGTAGGACGCAAATGCCAGACCCTAAGACTTCAAGCAGCACTTTGAGAGCAAGCATCCTAAGACTCCACTTCCTCCAGAATTGGCTGATGTTCAGGCATAAAGTTGTGTACAGGTGAATTCATGACACCTTTGACTCTTCTACTGTCTCAGATCTTAGGTAACAAACCTGCAGCTGCTTTTCTAACAAACTGCTGGTCAGCAAAAATAAAGGGGCTACAGAAACACTCATTTTTATGCCATTCTCTTTTGGGCTTCATGCAAAGACAATTCTGTATAAATGTACAGTTGACTCTGATTTGGAAATCTGAAAATCAGTCCATCCTTTTATTTATTTATTTATTTATTTTTTTTTTTTTTTAGAGGGCAGTGTCACTGGCCCTCATATGTGGGATCCGAACCGGGGCCCTCTGGCATCCCAAGCCAGCCCCCAACCAACGTGCCACTCGGCCGGCCCAGTCCATCCTTTTAAAAAAAATTTTTTATAATTTTAATTATATTGATGTTCATATTGTGTAAAATAACTCATTTAATAAAGTAGTACTTTATTAAATGATTTTACAAAAAAAATTAAATGAAAAAACTCAGAAAAAAGACAAATAACAGAACAAATAGAAAACAAAGAACAGAAGTAAATTCAATCATAATGATAATTAACTATACTAAAAGTAAATGGTCTAAACACTGCAATTAAAAAGCACATTATCACAATGACTAAAAATTAAGATACAACTATATTTTGTCTACAAGAAATGTGACAAAGATATCAAGATACAGATAAGTTACAGATTGCTAAAGGATAGAAAAAGATACACCTTGCAAATACTAATTTTAAGAAAATGCTAGTAGCTATAGTAATATCAAAGTAAACTTCAGGATAAGCAATATTACCAAAGGTAAAGAAGACACTTCATGACAAAAGAGTTAATTTTAACATAAATGTACCTAAAACATAATTTTAACATAAATGTACCTAATAGAGCTTCAAAGCACAGAAAGCAAAAACTGACAGAGTTAAAAAGAAAAGAAGACAAATCCACAATTATTGTTGGAGGTCTCAACACGTCTCTCTCTCAGTAAGTGACAGAGCAAGTAGACAGAAAATCAGGATACAGAAGATTTGAACACACTATCATCCAATTTGATGTAATCAATATATAAAGAACACTCTCCTCAACAAGAACAAAACACATATTCTAAGTGCATGTAGAACATTAACCGAAATCGTCCACCTACTGGGCCATGAAACACATCTCTACAAATTTAAAACTGACATCATACAAAGTATATTCTCTGTCTACAACAAAATTAAATTAGAAATAAATAATAGAGAGAAATTGCAAAAATCTTCCAATAGTTATAAACATTAACATCATGTGTCTCAATAACTCATGGGTCAAATTTTTTAAAAAATTACAAAGTAATTTCAACTGAATGGAAATAAACATAAAATATCAGTATTTGTGGAATGGAGCTAAAGTAGTGTTAGAGGAACATGCATAGCTTTAAGTGCTTATAATAGAAAAGAAAGTTCTCAAGTCAATGGTCTATTAAGCTTCTAAAGAGGCTAGGAAATGGAAGCATATTAAACCCTAAGAAAATAGAAAGAATGGAATAATAAAGAGCTAAAACCAATGAAATAGAAAACAAAGAGAAAATTAACCAAATCAAATGCTTATTCTTTGAAAAAAAAATCAATAAAATAGATAAAGCTCTAGTTAGATTGATCAAGAGAAAAAGAGTGAAGATACAAATTACAGTACCAGGAATGAAAAAAAGGACATCACTGCAAATTCCACAGAAATTGAAAGGATAATATACAAATATTAAAAACCTTATGCCAATAATTTGACAAGTTTGATGAAATGAATACATTTCTTTAAAAAACCTAAATTACCAAAATTGACACAAGAAGAAACAGAAAAACCTGAATATTAAATATATAATTAAAAATATCCCCATAAAGATTCTATGCAACATTTAAAGAGGAAATAATACTGATCCCACACATACTCTTTCAGAAAGACGAAGGCACTAAAACTAAAAAAAAAAAACTAGAGAAAAACTAAAGAACTGAAAAACTTTTAAAAACTTTCTAAAAAGAAAACCAATATCCTTCAGTGTGAAAACACAGTACATCATTACCAAGTCCGGGGACCTGACTTAGGTGTGAGGCATATATATGAATAAAATACAAAATTCTTTCCCTCATGGATACAGCCTTGAGTGAGGTGTGAAGTTCCTGAGACCAATGTCTGAAAGAGGAATAACTTGCCAGAGGCAACACAATCAA